TTGTTAATCTTTGTGTGTTGGGGACAGAGGAGGGGGTGGTGCATGGAAACTGAAGTCTCCTACGTTGCCCTTTTTTTTCGCTGAATGGATAAATGAAATATGGTATATCCATATAGTAGAATATTATTTGTCTCCCCCCAAAAGTAACAAAATACTAATACACATTACAACATGGATAAACCTTGAAAACATTATGCTATGTGAAAAGAGCCTGTCACAAAACACCATATATTGTAGATTCCATGTATGTGAAATGTGCAGAAGAGGCACTATAGAGACAAAAATAGATTAATGGTTGCCTAAAGCTGAGGAGGAGGGGACTGGAGGGGAAATGGGGAGTGAGCATTAAAGGGTGAGGGGGTTTCTTTCTGGGGGTGATGAAAATGTTCTAAAATTTATTGTGGTAATGGTTGTACAACTCTGTGAATATATTAAAAACCACTGAATTGATCACTCTAAATAGGTGAATTGTATGGTATGTGCATTATATCTCGGTAAAGCTGTTATTCGGAACAAGGATATCAGAAGATAAAATGCCTTCATTCAGTGACTCAGCGTTTAGTGGTAGCCTGTAATGTACCAGGCACTTGCTAGAGGCAACAAGACCCGGTCCGTATCCCTAAGACGCTTGCAGTCTGGTGGCAAGAAAATTAAGTGGGCATTTATAATACAAGGATTCTGCTGGAGGAGCTTTAGAGGTAGGAGATATTTGGGACTGATGCCATTTAGCACCTTTAAAATCACTTCCAGATGAACAGCAACCTATGTGGCCTGTATGCCCAATAACTAACGATCGAACAGCCTTTCCAGTTTATAAAGAACTTTCATATATATTGGCCCCGAATGACCTACCTATAAACTAGGTAACAATTTCCTAATTTTACATAGAGGTTAAGGATTTTATTCTTCATCACACAGCTAATGAGTAATAAAACCAGGGCTTAAGTTTTTAAAAGTTCATTATGCCTCTATCCACTCCAGACTAGCTGCTTCTCCCATATCTTTATATTGCCTGGCACTCCATCCATCCAGTCTCCCACGCCAGAAATCGGCTTACCCTTACCACCACATCCAACCACTCACCAAGTCTGAAGAGCCTCTCTCTTTAATTTCTCTTCCATCTCCATGCCCCACTCAGAGCCCCCTCACTTATTCCATTTCTTGGAAGACAGGCCTCTGGCCTCACCTTCATCAATCCATCTACATGTGGCTGGCATAGAGAATTTTCTGGAATATTAATCAGGTCTCTGGACCTTTTACTGCCCTATTAAATCCTTAAATAACTCCCCATGGCTTCAGGATAAAGTTTAAAATTCAGCATATGAGAACCTTCTTGCTCTAACCCCAGCCCCTCTCTCTGCTCCTGTATGTACACAGGCAACCTCTGTGCCAGTCAGGATGAAATTCCCTGAATAGTCATGCTGTTTTCTCTGTCTGGAATAATCAGCTTTTTTCTCTCCATCTAGCTAACTGAACTTCATTTTTCAAGACTTAGCTTATGGTTGAAAACTCATGTCCACACAAAAACCTAAACACAGGGAGCCAGCCCCGTGGCCGAGTGGTTAAGTTTGCACGCTCTGCTTCAGTGGCCCAGGGTTTCGCTGGTTCAAATCCTGGGCGTGGACATGGCATGGCTCAACAAGCCATGCTGAGGCAGCATCCCACATGCCACAACTAGAGGGACCCACAACTGAAAATATACAACTATGTACCGGGGGGGCTTTGGGGAGAAAAAGGAAAAATAAAATCTTAAAAAAAAAAAAAAAACTATGGGGCTGGCCCCGTGGCCGAGTGGTTAAGTTCGCGCGCTCCGCTGCAGGCGGCCCAGTGTTTCGTTGGTTCGAATCCTGGGCGTGGACATGGCACTGCTCGTCAGACCACGCTGAGGCAGCGTCCCACATGCCACAACTAGAAGGACCCACAACGAAGAATATACAACTATGTACCGGGGGGCTTTGGGGAGAAAAAGGAACAAATAAAATCTTTAAAAAAAAAAAACAAACAACTAAACACAGTTGTTTATAGCTGCTTTATTTATAATTTCCAAAACTTGGAAGCAACCAAGATGTCCTTCAGTATGTGAGTGGATAAACAAACTCTGGTACATCTAGACAATGGAATATTATTCAACACTAAAAAGAAAAGAGCAATCAAGCCATGAAAAGACATGGAGGAGACTTAAATGTTTATTACTAAGTCGAAAGAAGCCAGTCTGAAAAGGCTACATACTGTGTGATTCTAATTATATGACATTCTGGAAAAGGCAAAACTATGGAGATAATAAAAAGATCAGTGGTTGCTGGGGGTTGGGGTGAGGGGGAGGGATGAACAAGCTGAGCATGGAGGATTTTTAGAGCAAAGAAAATACTTTGTATGATACTATAATGATGGATACATGTCATTATCCATTTGTACAAACCCATGGAATGTACAGCACCAAGTGGTCCCAAGGGTAAACTATGGACTTTGGGTGTTTATGATGTGTCCATGTAGGTTCATCCTTGGTAAAAAAAATGTACCTCCCTGGTTGGGGATACTGATAACGAGGAAGACTCTGCATGTGTTGGGGCAGAGGGTATATGGGAAATCTCTGTGCCTTCTTCTCAATTTTACTGTGGCCCTAAAACTGCTCTAAAAAAATAAAGTCTTTAAAAAAAAAAGGATTGAGCTTACGCACTTCCTCCCAAAAGTCTGGATTATATGTCCCTCTTCTGAGCTTCCTTAGGTAGCATCTTCTATCATAACGATTATGCTTTACACAACAATTGATTTATTTGTCTGTCTCCCCTATTTAACTATAAGCATCTTGAAGGTAGGTCCCATGTCTTATTGATCTTTAATTTCCCCTGCAGGTGTTTAGTACATGTTTTTTTGAATAAAATACTTTTTAAAAAACCTGCCTCCACATAAATGGGACTTCTAAGGATCAGGAGAAGAAGATCAAGAATCTCTGGGGCCAGCCCCCGTGGCATAATGGTTAAGTTCAGCATGCTCTGCTTCATGGGTTCAGATCCCAGGTGTGGACCTACACCACTGGTCACTCATGCTGTGGTGGCAACCCACATACAAAATAGTGGAGGATTGGCACAGATGTTAGGTCAGAGCTAATCTTCCTCAAGCAAAAGAGGAGGAAGATTGGCAGCAGATGTTGGCTCAGGGTGAATCTTCCTCAGCAAAAAAAAAAAAAAAAAAAAAAGTCTCTTCAGGAGATGAGGTGACAATGGATGTACTTTCTAATTTAAACACCTAGTTTATATCAATAGAAAAGAGAGGTCACATCTCTTTATATCAATAGAAAAGAGAAGTCACATTCAAAGAATTCAAAGAATGTGACTTCTCTATACCCCTGGACCCTCAAGTATATCATCTGCTGAGATCAAAATGTACTGTGTACATCAGTCTCTTATTGCAACAGGAAAATCACTCCAATGGGAAATCACTGTGGAATTTCCCTGTCTTTGGTAACTCTTTAAAACCAAGTTTTGGCAACATTAGTGTAATTCAAGAGTAGGTCATCCTCTGGATACAGCTGGTAGAGTTAGTTTCACACAATGGACCATTGTTCACAGGCATTCTCTGTCAACATGTGCTTCCTGTAGCTATTGGTTAAAACTAGGATGTAGCTGTTGGCTGTATCAGGCCTAGAAGAATAATCTACCACGGCATGGTGCTTTAGGTCTGAAAGTTCTTCACACCAACCAAGGTGGAGATATTGTTGAAGGTTAGACCACTTGGCAAGTTAAGTGTCAGTGGTTTAGTAATGTTCCATGTGTGTGTGTGTGTGTGTGTGTGTGTGTATGGGGGTGAGGTTGGAGTGAGCAGTGACTTAGAAATACATTTCTACAACCTATGCCCTAGTAGTTCTTTCCCATTCATTCAATCCACAAACGTATTTTAGTTAAATATTTACTCAGTACTTATTACATACCAGGTACTATGCTAACTGTTAGGGATACAATTTTAATAACTATAGCACACACCATTGTTTTCATCATTATTATCCTGTGGAAATTCATAAAGAGAACCTCATTAAATTGGAGTCTGGAGGCCAAGAGGGGAAACTCTCAGCGCCCATGGCAATAGCAGAGTCCAACCGAAGAAGAAAGGCTTCCTCTTCTTGACCAGTGAGAAGCTCAGAGAAATGAGAGACTGGCACAACTCAACCAGTGAAAAGCCATTACACCTCCAACTCTCCGTTTACAATAGCCCTCCCAACTTCCTCTTCTCCTCTATAAAAGAATTTCTTCTCTGCGTGTTGGGGGGTATTTGCAGGTGACTCACCGTGGTTGCAGACCCTGAACTGGGATTCTTTGCTAATCCCAAATCCATTTTTGCTGGAGAAATAACCGGCTGTCTATTCGTTTAAGGTCAATACTCTATACCTATAAAAAGTAAATCCTGCAGAATCCCAAATGTCTTCCCTGAGGCTTGATTTGCACGTAACACTTAACTCAAGAGTAGCCATCTCTGAGGACCCTCCGTGCCCCCGATGATCGAAATAGGATTCTCCTAACTATGACCCAAGGAGAAAACACTGTAAACTCTTGAACGTGGAAAAACTGCGCTCAGCTGTTGGCTCTGGGCTAGACTAGGACGCAGATGTGAGAGGCAGATTGCACTGTGTACATTTTGGTACTGTCTGACTTTCGTCATGTGTATTTGCACGCTCTCTGGCCTTCAGGAAGGAGAAAGCACAGCTGCAGACCCCAGGCAACCGCGAGGGTCTGCCAGCGCGCCCTCGCAGCGCCCACAACCCGGGTGCCCGGCGTGGGTGAGCAGGTTGGGGCTGCAGGGAACGCGGCTTCTGGGCTCAGCGCTGCAGCGGGCGCCCGGAATCACCGCGGGGAGGGGCTCGAGGCTCATGCCTGTGCCCGGAGGACCGCGCTCCAAGTTGCTAGGAAGCAGCTCCGGGTTGCAGTGCAGGAATGTGCCCTTCCCCCAGGCAAACTTTCGGCCGCTGCAACGGAAGCAGGAACTTGCGAAGCACAAAACCTGCCGGGCGCGGCGGAGCTGCGGAGTATCCCCTGCCGCCCTCGCCGAGACCCTGGCCCGGATTCGCCGCTCCTGGCCCGCCACTGCGTTGGAACTGTCCCCGCCCGGGGAGGGCAACCGGGACCCCCGGGGTCCTTTCGCCGCCAGGTAAAGGCGTCTCCGTCCTCTCCTCCAGACCGGCTGCAGGCGGCGTCGCCACCTGCCGAGAGCAGCTCTCCTCCCTTCCCTGGCGAGGCTCCTCCACCCCTCCGGGAGCACGCGAGGGACCAGGCTGGAGCGAAGAAGGGCTGAGCAAGATCTTCGCGGCGCTGCGGCATCCCAGAGGGGATCTCCAGGCAGGCCAGCGGCACCTGCCATAGATGGCACTGGCTCCGCGTCGTCATCAGGAGAGGCAGACTAGTTTAGTGAGCGACATACATTTCCTCAAAGGAAAGGGAAATTTTCCTATTTTTTTCTTGCATGATTTGTCTCCTGTCTCCATTATTGAACCTGCTAATCGTCTAATATTCTATAGGATGTGACATCTTGATAAATTAGGTTAGGTTATGCTGTGAGTAAAATGATTTGCAATATTTGACACCGTTGTGTACACGTACTGTCGTAAGCAGGCGTTAGAGCTCAGGTACTTCCTTTGCCTTCCATCTGTGTCCTTTTCCCTCTGTCTTCAACTTGACTTTGGACCTTTAAGGGCTAACTAATAATGGATTCGAAGAACTAATTTCCCTAATAACTGTTGAGTGTCTTTAATGAGATAAACTCTTCAGTACTTCTCGCAATCCAGGCGCTATAAAGAGGCTGCGTACTGAAAACACAGCTGCTTAGCCCAGCTCCTTACATAGTTCAGGTTTCTTTGCAAGAGCTTGAGGAGAGATGTCAGAATCCATTCAAAGTAAAGTACTGGCCTGGTTTTTCTCTTTTGTTCCTGTTTTGTTTTCTTTAGGGCTAGAAAAGAGACTCCAAAATGTGGCAGGATAAAAAGGTAACCTGTGCCAGGAGTCTTGACCATGGGGGGTCCATGAATAGCATTCAGAAAGTCTGTGAACTTCGGTGGAAAAGTTTATTGTTTTACTCATCTCTAACTGAATTGTAGCATCTTCTTTAAGAGGCATGTAGGCAAAAGCCATAGTAGTGTTAGAGGTAGCTGCGATTTGCCACCACTAGAAATCACAGATATTTTCATGTCATATTACTTATGGCACATATCTCAAAATACCATTTACATTCAACACTACTTGAAAATTTTGGTAGTTCTGAGACATACCACTCGTTATTTAATAGATTAATAAGGAAGCACATACATCGCACAGTTGTTTTTAACTAAAAATGGGGATAATAATGGGATCTATCTCATTAGAACTCTTAAAGGATTAAGTGACATGATATATGTAAAGTGCTCAGCATAGAGACTGGTGTGTAGGAAAAATCAGTGTTACTTATTATTTTACTGTTTCAAAAGTTGGACCCAACAGCAAGGAAAGTATGAGACTTGTGCTCTATTACCATATAATTTTTTTTTTATTTTTAAACTATTTTGTTGTTTTTTACTAACTAAAGTCTGTTTGCATTAGAGTTCACTCTTGATGTTGCACAGTTCTCTGGGTTTTGACATGTAATGACATATATCCCCATTACAGTATCATATAGAACAGTTTCGCTGCCCTAAAAGCTCTCCTGCGCTCCACCTATGCATTACCCTGCTCCTGCTGGCAACCGCTGATCTTTTTACTGTCAGTCTATTTTAACCTTTTCCAGAATGTCATATAGTTGGAATCATACTTTTCAGACTGGCTTCTTTCACTTAGCAATATGCGATTAAGTTTCCTCTGTGTCTTTTTGTGACTTGATAGCTCATTTCTTTTTATTGCTGAATAATGTTCTATTGTATGGATGGACCACATTTTGTTTATCCATTCGCCTATCGAGGGACATCTTTTTGCTTCCAGTTTTTGGCAGTTATGAATAAAGTTACTGTAAACATTTGTATGCAGTCTTTTGTTAGTATTTGGTACTGTCAGTTTTTTGGATATCTCGTTTTTGTTTTAATTTTCATTTCCCTGATGACCATAGTGTTGAGCACCTTTTCATATGCTTATTTGTCATCTGTGTATCTTCTTTGGTGAGGTGTCTGTTCACATCTTTTGCCCATTTTTAATTGGGTTGTTTGTTTTCTTATTGTTAAGTTTTAGTTCTTTGTACATTTTGGCTACCAGTCCTTTATTAGAGATGTGTTTTGCAAATATTTTCTCCTAGTCTGTGGCATTTCTTTTCATTCTGTTAACATGTCTTGTGCGGAGCAGAAGTTTTTAATTTTAATGAAATCCAACCTTCAATTTTTTTTCATGGATCATGCTTTTGATGTTGTATCTAAAACATCACCTAATTTAAGGTCACAAAGACTTTCTCCTATGTTATATTCTAGGAGTTTTATAGTTGTGCATTTTCCATTTAAGTCTATGATCCATTTTGAGTTAATTTTTGTGACAGGTGTAAAGTCTGTGTCTAGACTTATTTTTTGCATGTGGATGTTCAGTTGTTCTGGTACCATTTTTGGGAAGACTATCCTTTCTCCATTGAATTACCTTTGCTTCTTTGTCAAAGATCAGATGACTATATTTGGTGGGTCTATTTCTGGGCTTACTGTCCTGTTCCATTGATCTGTTTGTATTTTCACCAATATCACACTGTCTTGATTACTGGAGCTTTATAGTAAGTGTTGAAGTCGGATAGTGTCCGTCCTCAGACTTTATTCTTCTTCGGTATTGTGTTGGCTATTCTGGATCTTTTTGCATTTCCATGCAAATTTTAAAATCAGTTTGTTGAGACCCACGAAATAACCTGCTGCGATTCTCATTGGGATTGCATTGAATCCATAAATCAAGTTAGGAAGAACTGACATCTTAACAATATTGATGAACATGGAATCTCTCTCCATTTCTTTAGATCTTCTTTGACTTCTCTCATCAGAGTTTTGCAGGCTCATTTAAAAATCTACTTTGATAATTATACTTCAATATAGCTGGCTTCCTTTGTAATCCTCTATATTTCATTTTATGCATTTTAAAACACGTCTCTCAGAAGAGATCCTAATCTTCACCAGACTACCAAAGGGTTCAGGAGAAAAAAGAAAAAAAGATTAAAGAAGCAGTAATTCTGCTCTAGGCTGTCATTCAGTGAACGATTTGTATTCCGGAAATGTGGAGGTGAGAGGGCGAGGAGAGTTTCTGGTATTACCTTGACAGTTTAACATTTATTTTTATTTTTCCTAGAAGAACCAGCTTACCAGTGGAGTTGGCGTTATACATGGGGTGACTTTTGTGTTTTTAGGAATGTCAAAAAGGAACACCTGCCTCCAAACTTTCCTTCAACAGAGTCACAGTATTCCCCCTGCTGACCAGCAAATTCCCAGAATTAGATTTTTAGAGTTACCTGCCTCTGGTTTGATACTTAAAGAGAGGCAGCAACAAAAAAGGCAGCCTCAGTTGCCTCATGTATGAAATAAAGAAAATAATGGCTTTTTCGCAGAGCTGGTATAAAGATTAAATAGGATAATATGTGTAAATTTCTTAGAACATTTCCTACCACCAAGTAGGTGGTTTAAAAACGCTAATTGTTACTACTGAGGAAGAAAATATGCCCGGTCCTGTTGTCACTGCTTCATCAGGGTCTCAAGATTTTGCGTCCTCTCCCTTCTGACTGGGAGAGGCAAGAAGAAGAGGGATTCCAGAACTCAGAGCATGCCTTCTGTTTATACCTCTTCCTTCACAGACACTTACCAGCTTTTAAGCATTGATGGGATGGTATATGTGTTTGCACTTACTAGTTCTTTAACAAGTTTTTAATGAAAGGTTGTCTCAAATCTATTAAAAATTGAAATGAATAAAAAATACTTGTTTATTTCTGTCCTGCTATAAATTGTGAGTCATTTACGTTGACTTGAAGACAATGAAATGTATCTTCCTTAGATTTGTTAAAAGAAACAAAACTTGCGTCTGGCCCCGTGGCTTAGTGGTTGAGTTCTACATACTCTGCTTTAGTGGCCTGGGTTCATGGGTATGGATCCCGGGCGTGGACCTACACCACTCATCAGCCATGCTGTGGCGGCAACCCACATACAAAATAGAGGACGACTGGCACAGATGTTAGCTCAGGGCTAATGTTCCTCACCAAAAAATAAAATAAAGAAAGAAAAAAACAAAACTCATTGATGGTTTTCTATTTTTGTTCTAGAGAGAAATTCCATCATCTGTGCAATCTTCTTGAGGCAAACTAAGACCAGAGGGAGGTTTATCCTTGACCTTTGAAGGCTGACTACGCTGGAATTTAAAATGTTCTTCAGAAAAGAATGGAGCTCAACTTACACTTTTGTAATAATTTGTTTCTTGACACTGAGGCTGGCCGCCAGTCAGAATTGCTCCACCAAGAGTCTAGAAGATGTTGTCATTGACATCAAGTCATCTCTTTCTAAGGGAATCAGAGGCAATGAGCCCATATACACATTAACTCAGGAAGACTGCATTAATTCTTGCTGTTCAACGAAAAGCATATCAGGTAAATAATAGTCGTGTGGCAACCCTTTATTCCATGTGTTTTGTGACATAAGTAGCTGGTCAATGTGGCTAAATAGTTTATCCTAGTGATTCTTAATGGGGTGGAATGGTGGGTGACACAATTACTGGAGGAATGTTCCACAAATGTGCCCTCCCCCTCCCCTAAGCTGATGAGTGTGTGCACACATCACTCAGGTGTTTGGGTAGAAAAAATGTTGAGTACCACCAGTGTTGTGTTCTAACAGGCATCTAAGGTATTGAAAACAAAATCCTATTTAAATGCTTAGCTGCCGTCATCATAGAGTTTTGGAATACAGTGTAATATTACAAAGAACATTTAAACAGGGAAAGGGAGTTGAGGCAAGAAGTAAAATTCTTAACTCATCCCATAGGAAAATCAGCATTTGATTTTTAAGCGGAAGCCCCAAACCTCCATTTTGTCTCCCTTTCCTGGATCTGGTGGCATAAAGTGAGTCTGGAAGCCACCGGCCATTAATTACAGCTTCCACGACTCCAAGGGGTCTGGGAATTCATTTAGCCTGACCCATTCCCATGACAGGGAAGGAAACTGAGGCCCACAGGTTTGAACACGGCTTTGCACATTTCAGGCTCCAAACCCATGACCTGAAAAGAGAAGTATATAAGTGAAACAATGGTTGTTTTTCAGTTGTTTATGACCCTGTCCTAATTCCCTGAATGAAAAAACCCCACTAAATTCATTGGGCATCTAATGCCTTGCTAGGTGCTGGAGATGAAACAATGACTAAGACGGACGAGGCCTTGCCATCGGAGCCTAGAAAAGCTAGTGAATGTTGGACTAGTGATTCTTATTAACCAAGCAAATCATATGTTTTCTCTTAGATCTTTACTTCCTTTTCTTTCTATAATGGTTGTAGTATGATAAGAAAGGAAGGGAAGAAAGAAGGAACGAGGAAAGGAAGGAAGGAAGGAATAGATATATATTTGGTCTTTGTCCCTGATTCCTGGCACAGAATTCCTAAAACTCTGAATTTCCAGAGCATAGGAGCTTCTTTTGTTATTCATAATGAACCCCTTTCAACCATACTTGAGTTTATGCTAATGAAGGAATTCTTGGTGGGGCCCTAGACAGCTTCAGGATGGGTGCTGGTCACCAGAAGGACCAAACCTTGATTAGAAGCTTAGACCTTTCGGCCCCCTACTCCCCTACCTCCAGGTAAGGGAAAGGGGCTAGAGATTGAATTCAATCACCAATGGCCAATGATCTAATCAATTATGTCTATATAATAAAACCTATATAAAAACCCCCCAAACAATGGGTTCTGGGAGTTTCCAAGTTGGTGAACACCTCTGTGTGCTGGGAGGATGGTGCACGCCTGCTCCACAGGGAAGGGAGCTCCTGTGCTAAAGACCCTTCCCGACCTCACCCTGGGTACCTCTTCATCTGGCTGTTCACGTGTATCTTTCATAACAAACTATAATTGTAAGTATAGCATTCTCCTGAGTTCTGACAGTAGTTCTGGCAAATTATTGAACTTGGGGTGGGGGATTGTGGGAACGTGAATTTGTAGTTAAGTACTCACACTTCTGAATTTGTGACAGCAGTGTGAGTAATCTGGGGACCTGATACTTGTGACTGGCATCTGAAGTGAGGGCAGTCTTATGGGACTGAGCCCTTAAACCTATGGAATCTGACACTACCTCTAGGTAGTTAGTGTTAGAATCAAATTGAGCTGTAGCTCACCCAGTTGGTGTCAGAGAATCAGAGAACTGGAGAATGAGCGTGGAAAAGACACGACGTATTTGGTGTCAGGAGGCAGAAACCCTTCAATGGTCTTCTCAAGTTGAGCAGTGTACTTTTGGACACTCTTTGTAGAAGGGATTTGTGAAAATTACAAAGATTTCATTTAAATTTCTAGTTTTTCTTTAAATGTTGATATCAACATTTATGTGAAATAGACACTTCACCTGCAAACAGGACTGAAGGCCGTGTGGGTATTTCTTGGCAACACAGGAAACCTTGCCATTCTCTTCAATTCCATGTTGCATGTTTAGTGAGAAATGAGGGTTTGCTGCTTTATTCTATGCACAAAAGTACTGTTATTGCTCTGGGCAGAGGTAATTGTGGTCTCAGTTAATGGATCTGACTTTTTCCTCACTTATGGAGCCATGGTTTTTAACTGTGTGGGGTTCAAAAAACACTTCGATAATTTGTTTATAGCCGTAGGCTCTAGAAAAATACCTATGAATACAAAGGACACAAAATTCTGCATACAACTTGGGGGACTTATGGACCCTTCCCTTTACCCAAGTGCCCCCCAAAAATGGTATTGCAGAATTATCCCATTGCTGAGAAGGCTAACCTAGAGAACCTTTCTTGTTACCTGGGTAATGGAGAGAGAACATGATAAAACCTCTGCAGAAGCTAGCTAAGTCTTATTTCCCGTCAAGGGAGCCAAGGTTGATCCCTAACCATTGCTTGACTTGAAGAAGTGATGGTGACACTTGGCAGACCATGTGGGTTTTTCCCCCTGGTTTAATTGAGGTATATTTGGTCCATAGCATTGTGTAAGTTTAAGATACACAGTGGTGATGATTCGATACATCTATATATTGTGAAATGGTTATCACAATAAGGTTAGTCAACACATAGTTACTTCTTGGGTGTGTGTGTGGTGAGAAAGAGCATGTGTTTTAATAATTAGGCTGTAGGCCTCTTAACCTTCAACCTGACCGGGGATATACTGATCCCTCAGGGGTCACAGGCCAAGATGTGAGACAGCACCAGATGGAGGCCAAGATGAATAGAGAGAGTAATTTCTACTGGACATCAGAGGAAGAGAAAAAGAGGCCAGAAATGAAAGTTAAGAGTAAAAAGTAAGGAAAGAAAGAAAACAGAAAAGGAAAAATGATAAGGAAGAGCAGAAATGTGAAGAAAGAATCAAAAGAAGAATGGTACTAATAAAAATAAAAAATAGACTTTGCATTTCATACAGTACTCAGATCCGATATGGAAGGAGGCATGATATGAATGATGCTGAATTTACTGACTCCACCCAAGAAAGCCAGACTCCTGGCTTCGTAGGTGTCCAAAATGCCTTCAGGATACAAGACATACATGGAATCATTAGGGTTAGAGCCGTTTCTTAAGACCCAACTCAGTTGTGAGTTGTGTAAAGACTGCAAAGTCAGGATTTCTATGTATACTTTGATAGATATTTTTGCAAACGGAAGGCTTATTTCTAAAAAATTAAATGTACCATTAAAAATTGGTTCTGGGGCTGGCCCGGTGGCATAATGGTTGTTCGCGCGGGGCAGAACTAGCATGGCTTGTCAGGCCACGCTGTGGCAGGATCCCACATAAAGTGGAGGAAGGCTGGCACAGATGTTAGCTCAGGGCCAGTCTTCCTCACACACACACACACACAAATTGGTTTTACCAAAATTACCTTACTTCAGATTTTTAAAACCAATATCTTTAAAAATTGCTTTAAGGACTAAACTAAGGAAAAGGAAATGATTCAGCGGTCAGCAAGCAAGTGAACAGAGGTGTTTGTTCTGGACGCCAGAATAAATGAAGTTCTTCCTGCTGGCCTTACTCTTAAGAAAATCCTATTTCGAAATAATGCTTATGAAACCTTTCATTGCAGGGGACAAGGTGTGTAACTTGATGATCTTCGACACTCGAAAAACAGCCAGACAACCCAATTGCTACCTATTTTACTGTCCCAGTGAGGAAGCCTGTCCACTGAAACCAGCAAAGGGACTGATGACTTACAGGATAATTAGAGGTAATAAAAACTTTGCTCCTTTTCTTTTGTGACTGGAATTATTTAAGGATCTGGTTCACGTGAAATATTTTCTATGAAAGAGTTGAAATAAAACTACCAAAGGGGGGGCCACAAAACAGAGAGGCACACCAGAAAAATCTCATTTAAAATTCAATTTATTAATCCAGTCATTTTTCCAATGAAAGACCTTTGAATGACAGTATTTTGTTTGTTTCAGTTTTGTTTTTACCTTCCTAAGATAAAAGACACACAGACCTTTTGTCGAAACATTTGGAAACACCCTTTTAGAACAATGACAGCGACATTGAAATAAGTGCACAGGTCTCTTGTTTTGTAAGGGGTAAGACCCACGTGAAGATATAAAATTTCAGTATGTTTGTCATTATTCCAATTATTTTATAATCACACTATCTGAAATTAAACTCACTGTATTTGATTGTCCAGACCTGGAAGGAAGTTCATTCAAGAAGTGTTTTTTGTGTGTCTGCCTTGTGCCAAATCTGTGCAAGGCGTTGGAAATACAGTCTCCATGCTCGGAACTTACAGACTTGTTCAGAATTCAGAAAATACACAAACAATCATATAATTATTTGTCTATGTCTTGGTGAGATTTTGGCTTGTTAATTTTTCAGAATGAAATGCTTTCAGTATCAAATTTCCTTGTATTTGTTTTAGAAAGTTTTTGTCATTATACCCTTGGCTATTAATAATATCCTGTTTGTTCATTTATTCAATAAACAACAAATATTATTTAGCATCCCCCAGCCCAGCACTTTTTGTGTACCAAGAATACAAAGATACAATACTGAATGTGAAAAACAAGGTTCTTGCTTCTGGAACTTATGTTTTAGGAGAGCGAGAGAATAACCCAAATAAATAGATAATCAGGAAGATATAGTCACAAATGCTATGGAGATAGCTGAGCTAAGACAGTGTAATAGATAATCACTGGGTGGCCCCTCTTGATCAGGTGATCAGAGGAAGCATCTGAAGAAGTAACCCCGTAAACTGAGATCCGAACAGTAGGGAGCCAGATGTGAGAAGGCCGTGGGAAGTTGTTTCAGGCCAAGGAAATAGCCTGTTCCAATACCCTAAGGCAGAATGGTTTTAGAGTGTTTGAAGAACAAACTCCCAGCTGGTTGACTCATAGTGAACCATGTCAAGAGTGATATGCAAGAACGAAGACAAGGGGGGAGGTGACATACAGCTTTCTAGGCCAGGCAGGGAGGTGTTATTTTAGGTGTGTAATGGGAAGCCGATGGAAGTTTTTAAGCAGGCATGTAGCCTGGTGTTTTAAAGGTGATTTCTCAAAGCTCACTGGGACTGTTCTATTGGGAACGGACAATGACGCAGCAGCAAGAGGGGATGTGGGAAGACGGGTAGGAGGTGGGAGTGAGATGCAAGTGAAAGGCCATGGCATTGTGGACCAGGCAGGTGGTAGAGGAGACGGAGAGAAGTAAACATACGGGCTGTTGCAGAGGTAGAGTGGACGGGACTTGGTGACGGCGTGGCTGTGGGGGACGGGGAAAAGAGGAGCATTGGAACTGAGTCCTGGTTCTGGGCTTGAGCCTCTAGACGGATGGTGGCACCGTCTGCTGAGCTGGGCAAGATTAGAGAACTGCTTTCAGGGCTGGGAGGAGGAGCAATCAAGGCTTCTCTCTGGACTGTATTACTCGCGAGGACCTTTGGGGTGTGATATTGCCCAGGGCGCCTGGGCACTGGCTCTGCTCTGTCCCCTGGGTGAGGCTGTGTCTGAGTTTTGTTCATGAACCGGGAAAACCTGATGGATAAACATCCCCTTAAACAAGAGCATAAAGCCCAAATTACTTGTGTGAATTCTTCCTAAGCAGTGATGTAAGCCTGAGGATACAAGGACTGGCACATAAGGTACAAAGTTTCAGTTTTTCAAGATGAAAAAGTTCTGGAGATGGATGATAGTGATGGTTACACAACAATGTAAATGTACTCAGTGCCTCTGAACTGATACTAAAAAAGGGTGAAAGTGGTAAATCCTTATGTGTATTTTACCACGATTTTAAAAAACAATTTTTTTAGAGAGCCTGTGGCACAGAACAAATCAGGCTTCTCAGGACACTCAAGACCTTACCTTGCCTGGAGAGGGTCTGGTGTCCTCTTGCCTTTTCAGGGCTTCAGCAGCCAGAGTGGCTGCCCTGATCGCTGTGGCTCCTTCACTTCCACTGCCTGTATGTATGTAATCTTGGCTAAAAACACTGGGGACCTGTGGTGTGGTGTGGCTGCGGCTTCTTTCTGTTCATCTTTGATCACCTGGAACATTGCAGAGCCCGTTAGATAGCCGGAGTGGGGATGGGGGCAGCATCCAGCAGGAAATGGACATCCCAGTCTGAGTGTCCAGACCGGTCAGGGCTCCAGACACTGATTGGAGCATTTGTTCTTGAACTTCAGGAGCTCCCAGCATGCGGAGGTCGGGCCTTCATGTTTCACCTCTATGATCCCTCCTCACTACCTCTTCTTCGTTCCGTCCTTTCTTCCACTATCAGTGTGTGTATTCTCCACGTCTATCATCTATTTCACAATTAAAGCAGAATAGTCAAGAAATTGTAGGTAATTTAATCCAGTAATTCTACTTCCATAAAACCTATACCAAAGAAACAACACCGAAACAAGAAAAAGCTATTGGTGTGAAGCTGTTTATTGTATAATTTTATAACAATAAAAATCTAGAGGGGGCTGGCCACATGGCCGAGTGGTTAAAGTTCTGTGTGCTCCACTTTGGTGGCTTGGGTTCATGCGTTCAGATCTGGCACGGACCTGCTCCACTCGTCAGCCATGCTGTGGAGGCATGCCACACACAAAATAGAGGAAGATTGGGATGAATGTTAGCTCAGAGCTGATCTTCCTCAAGAAAAAAAAAAGAGGAAGATTGGCAATGAATGTTAGCTCAGGGCAAATCTTCCTCACCAAAAGAAAGAAGACTAGAAGCAGCATAAATGTGCAATTCCCAGAAAATAGTTGGGTGTAAAATTTGATGGAACTTGAGGGAATACGACGCAGGTATTAAAGAAATAAGTTTGAGGAATAGAAATAAACCATATTTCACCTAAATTTCTAGTGAACAGCATCCGGTTATTTTTCAGTTACATGAAAAGAATGTTTAGGGGGCCAGCCCTGTGGCCAAGTGGTTAAGTTCAGGCGCTCCGCTTCAGCAGCCCAGGGTTTCGCCAGTTCGGATCCTGGGAGCAGACATGGCACCGCTCATCAAGCCATGCTGAGGCAGCATCCCACATGCCACAACTAGAAGGACCCACAGCTAAAAATACACAACTTTGTACCGGGGGGCTTTGGAGAGAAAAAGGAAAAATAAAATCTTTAAAAAAAAAGAGAATGTTTAACTTTAAGGTATACAGAAATGTTAATAGTAGCTGGGACATAATGTTGGAAATTATAGTTCAATTTGTTTTATAATTTTCATAATACTTCTATAATGTGGTTGCTTTTGTAATGCATGTATAAAGGAAGGAGTGTGTGGTGAAGGTTCTCTCCAATAGAAGTGGGAGAAAAGGGAACTTGGCAGGTGCATAAACCTAATTTTAAGATCAAGTGTGAAGGTAATAAGTGGACTTAGAATCCAACAGTTCCTGTGGCGGCCACCAGGGGGCGCCATCAGCCCAGAGCAGGTTGGTTGATATCTAGTGATAAAGCGGCACCAAGCCTGTACATGGTGTGCAGCAGACTATTTATGTCTACAGGATGTTTACAAATTGTGTTTGTAATTCTATTTATGAATCTGCCCATGTTGCTGGACTGAGACTACGCCATGAAAATAAATGATCTGCCTCCTATTTAGAGTGAAATTAAATAGATATCTGTTGGGTGGTTTGTTTCCAGGTGAACTCTATTTCCTATAAATGATTGACTAATATTTACAGACTGAAAGTTTGAAAGATGATAGTGTACTCTGTTCTTCTAGAACATCATTGCAGCTTGGCATTATTTATTTATTTTTTTGCAGCTTTGTGGTGTGTCATTTCTACCAAGGATTAGAATCGGGGAATTCAGACATAGAATCAGTAGGGAGTCTGTTTGCTCAGCTGGTTTCCAAATAATAATAGTCAGTCCCTAAGTTTTTTATTTAATGAAATCACTTGAAAATAAAATTCAAAAGAGGGGTTGAGGGCACAAGGCTGTTTCCCGGTCCCCTCTGTGTCTCATTTCTTTGTGACCCGGAGCAAGCACCCCACCCTGATGGCAAACACCAGTGGTGAGGTCAGTGGAGCAGGTGTGGAGGATCCGTGCGCGGTTCCAAGATCTTTGCCAGTAGAGGAATCTGCTCAAGAAATGGGACTGGCCCAGCTTTGTGTGAGCTTGCATTCTTGAGAAAGAAAATAGCTGTTTTGGTCATTCTTGTCAATGGCTTTATTTAAGTTCTGAGTTCACACATATTACAGAGCATTTTCTTAAATAGTGTTTTTTTTAAAAACTTTAAAATGAAATATGTTGAGTCCTGCTCTCTTTTTAAATATCTGATACTACCTAAAAATATAGGTGTTGTTGGGGCCGGCCCGGTGGCACAGCGGTTAAGTGCGCACGTTCTACTTCGGCGGCCCGGGGTTCTCCGGTCTGGATCCCGGGTGTGGACATGGCACCGCTTGGCACACCATGCTGTGGTAGGCGTCCCACATATAAAGTAGAGGAAGATGGGCATGGATGTTAGCTCAGGGCCAGTCTTCCTCAGCAAAAAGAGGAGTATTGGCAGCTCAGGGCTAATCTTCCTCAAAAAAATAAATAAAATAAAAAAAAAATAGGTGCCATTTATCTCGTGGTGATGCTAGGTCTATGAACGTGAATTCACCTGCAGCAGAAACTCTTCAGTGTTGTTTGGCATTGGTGATGGTAAGAGGAATTTCAGGCACCCAGATTCTATTTTGGGGTAGAGTACTACATCCTAGAGCAGGTATCTGCAAATTTTTTTTGTCAAGGGCCAAATAATAAGTATTTTAAGCTTCTCGGGCCAGGATTTTAGGCTTCGTGGGCCATATGCAATCTATCCTGCGTACTCCACCTCTGCCCTTAGAGTGGGAGGTGGCCATAGACAATATGTAAACACATGAGTGTGGTTGTGCGCCAATAAAACTTTATTTATTTGTGGACACTGAAATTTGAATTTCATATAATTTTCATGTGTCACAAAATATTATTCTTTTTGATTTTTTCCAACCATTTGAAAACACAGAAACCATTCTTAGCTTCCAAGCCATCCAGAGAGGTGACAGGCCAGATTTGGCCCTCAGGCCATAAGTTGCTGACCCCTGTGGTAGATGGATTAAGAGTGACAGTTCTGAAGGAGCTCGCAGAGGTGTGAGGCTTAGAGAGTCGTCGGAGATACTGCAGGTCTGAAGTTGCCTCTGGATCGTTTGTTAGCAGAGAGAAGAGTAAGGGCCAGTTTAGAAACTGGCACTGAGGGGAGCTGAAGAAGAAAAGGGAAAGAGAAGAGGGGAGAATGAGCCAGTTGATGCGAAGAAAGTCCTTTGCTTCCTTGCTTGGGTTTTCTGCAGCTCTGAAGAGAAATGATTAGCCAGGGAGCAGAACAATACAGAGCAATTCCAATGATCATTCGCTGCACCTGATTGCTTTAACAAGCCTTTCCGGTTTGAGCTGTGGTTTACCAGCTGTGGTGTGTGTGACTAAGACCAAAATTCTCAACTTTCTCGCCCATGAGGAGGATCTGAGGCCTGTTTCTCCTCAGCAGGAGTTGGGACTGTGTGATTTTCTGCTCTTTATTTCAGCAGTGTGGCCATTGTGATTTCAAATATTGGTCCTGTCGTCCTCAGATCCTCACACCCTAAGACATTGCCTCTAGAATTTTAATTCTTTTTTTTCTTTTTTTACTGAGGAAGATTTGCCCTGAGCTAACATTTGCTGCCAATCTTCCTCTTTTTGTATGTGAGCCACCACCACAGCATGGCCACTGACAGACAAGTAGTGTAGGTCTGTGCCTGGGAACTGAACCTGGGCCACTGAAGCAGAGCGCATCAAACTTAACCACTAGGCCACTGAGGCTGGCCCTAAAATTTTAATTTGTTTTTTAAAGATTGGCACCTGAGCTAACATCTGTTGCCAGTTTTCTGTTTCTTCTTCTTCTTCTTCTCCTCCCCAAAACCCCTCATACATACCTGCATAGTCCAGTTGCAGGTCCCTCCAGTTGTGCCATGTAGGACGCCACCTCAGCGTGGCTTGGCGAGCGGCACTAGGTCTGCACCCAGGATCCGAACTTGCGAAACCCTAGGCCTCTGAAGCAGAGCACGCCAACTCACCACTTGGCCACGGAGCCAGCCCCTAAAATGTTAATTTTTGAAAGTCAAAATTAGGGCCAGCCCTGTGGCCGAGTGGTTAAGTTTGTACGCTCTGCTTTGGCGGCCCAGGGTTTCGCCAGTTCGAATCGTGGGTGCGGACATGGCACCGCTCATCAGGCCATGCTGAGGCGGTGTCCCACATGCCACAACTAGAAGGACCCACAACTAAAATATACAACTATGTACCCGGGGGGTTTTGAGGAGAAAAAGGAAAAATAAAAAATCTTAAAAAAAAAAAGACAGTCAGTCAAAATTAAATATCCCGGATTGCCTTCCTCCCCTGAGCATGGTGCTGAAGCCTGTGTTTTGACTGAAATGTCATCAGCCGTCTCCTGCTGCTTTGGCCTCTGCCCGCAAAGACCAGATCCTCCAGTGCCCTCCGCCTGCTCCTCCCTGTCGAAGGCAGATCACTGGGATTCCGCCTCCTCTCCTCGTTGTCCCATGGCCTCCATGCACCTTTCTTGCCTGTGCCCGCTCTCCCCGTCCCCACCGTGACATCTCTCCTAGTGACTACTTGCTTCCCACTTATCATGGCAGTACCAGCTGGCACAGCCCGCAGGTGCTCGCGCCTCACACCGGCATTCTCCCTGACAGTCTTCATCCTGCCACATCACCATGGCCCAGCCTTTTTCCCTGGCCTTGGCCCCTTTAGCATCTCCATCTTCCTAAACCTCTTGCTGCCCGTGCTGAGCCCCTCTTAGTGTCTCTGCTCCTCCCACCTCTGCCTTAATTTTCCTGGTCCTCCTCCACACATCTCTTTCCTCCTGTCCCATTGCTCTAGAAATAAACCACAGCATCTGGTGGAGAGGCAGCGTCATCAGGTTCTGATTTAGCAATCTGTATTTTTCCATTTTGCACAAGTTTCAGTGAAATGTCAAGTATCAACAGTTTGGGGACTTATGGAACAAGCTGATACGTTTGACTTTTTTTTAACCTACCTCAGCATGGAAATATTTAAGTCTCCCTTTTATTTCCTTTACATTTTCAGATTTCCCGTCTTTGGCCCGCACTGATTTGCCAAGCCAAGAGTTAGCCCAAGAAGGTCCTCTCTTCCGTGGCCGGTCTTCACAAGCAGTCACCCCCACGGCCCCTCCTGTGACAGGTGATTCGAAGCCCACTGGTGTCGCGTGGAGAGAGGCATTTTCTCAGAAGTTGGGGTCCTCAGATCACTCAGAGAAACTACTCAAGATGGATCAAGCGGGTCCACCGTTCCCTGTTTATAAAGAAAAAGGCCGTTCTCAGAGTTCACGATTTACCTCAGAACAACAAATAGCTCATGTGTTGCCTGAAAATGTGACAGCATTCCTCACGACAGGGGCCAAGGCTTCCCTCCACGCCATCTCCGCCACTCCGGAGCCCACGCTCCTCCCCGCCGCCAGTGTGCCAGTGACACCTTCTGTGACTTCCCAACCACAGGAGCCCACCTCAGCTCGACCTGTAGCAAGGCTCACATCTCAGCCTCCCACAGTCCTCATTCCTACAATTTTGACACATGCTGTGGTGACACCGCAAGCTGGCCTGACCACAACGGCAGCTCCGATGACCGTCTCTCAGGCACCCACGGCTCTGACGGGCCCACGAGACACGGTGCCCTCTAGAGAAATGTCCACCCCAACTCTGAACACAGAGGCTGCCCATAGCCCTGCCACACCACCTTTGTCCGATGTGGGTTCTTCCACTACGAATGCCACTGCTTCCCAGGGAAATGGGAAGGCCAGTCCAGGTGGTTCTTCCCTGAGCAGTGTTCCCCGAAGTCTACACGGCCTTGCCTTTGAAAAGTGGCTCCTCACTGGGACCCTGCTCTTTGGTGTTCTGTTTCTCGCCATCGGCCTTGTCCTCCTGGGTAGGATGCTCTCCGAGTCCCTCCGCAGGAAACGTTACTCGAGACTCGATTATTTGATCAATGGGATCTATGTTGACATCTAAGGACGAAACTCGATGTCTCTTAATTCGTATAGTTCCTAGTGGGCCAAACACAGTGAGTTTCTGCTGACTCGCTGATCTTAGCAGGATTTTTTGAAGTATTTTGAAGACAGGCCAATGCCCTCTGCCATTTTCTTTTTGCTTGTTTTTTGAGGAGAAGCGGGGAAAGGAAATAAATAGGTAATTTGAGTGATCTGTCTCTAAAATATTATCTGAAAACAAGCTCCCCCCAAAGTAATAAAGTATAATTGCCATATAAATTGGAAAATGACTGGCTTTTTGCAAGGAAAACTGGGTAAGACTTCTAGGCTCCGGTTCGTTAATATTTCTGGTTCCAGATAAAGTCAACTGTTTATGATATTAATTCTCATAGATTTACTTTCCTTTTTATATGAATTCCAATAAAACTTATTCCAGATGTATTTCCTTCCAATTAAATATTTGAATAAATCTTTTGTTACTCAGTAATGTTCTTGTAAGTGACACATCCAGCTGGATAACTTTCAGTTTATTCCCACCAGCAAAATGATTAAATGGTGAAAATATGTGTTCTAAGTTAAAATGATAAAAACCCCCCGCCCCCCTTTTCCCATCAATGAGCAAAGAGATTCCTTTGGGAGAATTCTAGCAGACAATTAGCCTACATGGAGTCGATGATAAGTCAGTTCTGATAAATGGCCAAATCTACTTGGGGTCTGTTCTGGTTCACTATTCCCCCGCACCCCCCCGCAAAAGTAATAAAGGCATTTTCTAAACTTTACTAAGTTTAAAGTGTAGTAATTTTATTTATAAATCCTTCTCTAAACTTGACCAACCCTCAATTTTGGCTTTATTTGGAATAACATTGGAAATAATAGATCGCACTTAAAATTATTATTACGTGGTTAGTATGCTATAATTTTTATTGATTAGTTACCGAAATACGTGAGAAATGCTTTTTAATAAAGAATTTGCCAGATGAACTACAGTGGGGTAACTAACAATTCAGGAGGCCGCCTGGTCAGCGTGACCCCTCATCTCTCTGAATTTCATTTTGTTTACCTGCAAATCAAGAGGTTTCGTCCCTTCCTGGTGTCACCAGGGTTTTTAAAGATAAACATGGAATTCAGGTGCGATCTTTATACAGTGGGCGCTAGAGGGCAGTAGCTGGCTAACAAGTATAGCAATGAAGACTAATGTCGGAAATGACAGAAACTGGCTTTTCTCCTCTTTCCTCCTCACCTCCTCCTCCCTGTCCTCTCTCTTGGAGCCCCTCCCCTGCCCCCCTGGTTTACACTAAGCTCATAAAGCTCATTAAGAGGAAAGCTGGGCTGTTGAAAATACTACTTTTCATATATTTTCCAACTTAACAGCTTGACACAAATCTCCAAGGGGTTTACATAAGCTTTCAGTAGGTTGAATAAATAAAACCTTGAATCAGTTTAATTTAACAAGTACTTATTGAATAGCCACATGCAGGCCACAATCAGATTAGTAACTAAGTGCCTTGGAATTTTAAAATTTCTCCTCTCTTTGTTAACGGAATTAGATAGCGGAAATGAGGCTTTCTGTGGATGTTTATAAAAGCTTTCTCCTGGTTCTTTTGTGGCTCTCCGCACACCTTGCTGCATGCAATCTTTCTTGCGATGGAGAAACTTGACTGGGAGCCCCGACGGGAGGTGGTAGCAGTGGTCTGGATGAGAGATGCTGTGGGCCCACACTCTGGCAGTGACCGTGGGGATGCAGTTGTAAGGGAACAGCTGGATTTAAGACATACTTCTAAGGAGGAGACAGGCGTTCTTCTCACACAGGTCTCTGCTTATACCCCAATCGCAGTGGGCAAGGCTGCTGCAAATGCAATCAGAGGGGAAGAAGCTTGCATTTGCTTTCTTTCAAATAACTTTAACAGTGACTAGCCTGGCCAACCTTTTAGACAAGGTGCACTGAATTTTGAGTCCCCTCTGGTTTGTAGGAGGAGAAGGAAACAGCCTAGAACAAGTGAGAAGACCAGGAAAGACTCCCTGATCAAAAATATCCTGTCTCCATATTTCACCAACAAAACACTCACCTGGGTTAAAAGACTATTCCTAAAAAAGCTAATGACCCCTGAAGAATGAAGCCAGTGGCCCATTCAGTCTGGATGAAGCCCTGCTACATTCTTGTTTCTCAGTGACCCCTGGCCTGAGTGAGGCATTCTTGAAACGCTGGCTCCCAGACTGTGGTGGGCACTACAGGTTATCCACGCAACAGCCAGCCCCAGCTCCACTTTTGCCTCATTTGTTATAGGTTGGAAGTGTCCGATGCTTTCCCAGCTCTTCTTGGAGTTAGCGATGAGCCTTTGACCTAGTTCTAGCTGAAAAGAAACCTAATGGGGGCTTCTCCTCCTTGATAAGTGAGGACTCCACAAGGAAGAAAGCCCTTTTTGCCCCCAACTCCTTATTTCCTGCTTGGAATGCTGGTCATGTAGGGACTACCACTTGACACTTGGAGCTACTGCAGCCTTTCTGCCACCATGAGGGGAGAAATCACTAACAAGCTGATCGTGGCAGGGTGGGATATGGGAAGAGTCTGATCCTTGATAACTTGGTTAAGCAATGGCACTAACCCTGGAATTGCCCACTTCCAATCTCGTTCTGTGATAATAAACCTCTAATATTTGTATCACTTTTAGTCTGGTATTCCTTTACTTATTAATAATGATAACAAACATTTTCAAGGTACTTACAGTATATGCCAGGCACACTTTTGCATATACTAAGTCATTTCATTCCTATAACAACCTCATGAAGAATTTTTATCCACATTTTGCAGATGAGGAACTGAGGCACAAAGAGATTTAAGTGACGTGCCTCAGGTCACTTGCCCAGGTAATCTGGCTCCACAGTTCTTACCCTTTACATTCTCATAACTGGAAGGATACACAGTGTAACCAAAAAAGAGGTTTGCAGTAGATCAGCCACATTCTAGATAACAACTTTTAAATGGTGTTGAACTAAATGTTACCTTGAGCCAAAAGCATGGCAATTACCATCAGCGATCTCATTCCGGGGTGGGCTTCACCCACTTTCTCAGCCACTGACGTCCTGTCCTCTTGTTGATCACTGACCACCTGTGCCAAAGTTAACGGGCCCTCTTTAGTTAAGGGCCCACTGGAGTGGAGGGTCCATCCCATTCCCGTGTTCTCACACCTCTATTAATAGTACCCCCAGCCACCCCATCTCCCCGTATTGAGCAACTTCAAAGTCGTACCCTACTCTTGCCTCTCCCCTAGCCTCTGCACCCAGTGTTTACCACATGTCATCTGTTCTCTTTCAAAAACACTTCTCAAAGTCCACGCTTCCCACGGCCGCCTTCTATTTGGTGTCCCCAACCTGTTTCTCCTTGCTTCGCTCCCAAGTCACACGCTCCCTCCATGTGACCTCCAGTTACCTTAAAACACAACACACACAGTACATCACACCGTGCACTCTGTGCCTCCCTGATACCTGCGGGCGTGAGGCCCCACTGAGCGCAGCACATGACCGTGCTCTAGCTCCAGCCTTCCCTCCCACACAACCTGGGCCTCCGCGACACACGCCTTCTCCCTGTTTCTCACTTTCATGAGCCGTGCTATTCCCTCTGCATGCAAAGGCCCTTTTGCCTTCTTCGCCTGGCAGATTTCCACTCAGCTTTCAAGACTCAGCTCAAACATCACCTCCACCACGGTTTTCCCAGACCCTCCCAGGAGAGCTGTGATTCCTCAAGGATTTCTGGCACAGCTCTTGATTTATATCATTAGCAAGACACTTCCACGGGATCTTCTGACGCATCGGTTTATGTATTACACCGCGAGCCCGCGATATGTGATATCTGATTCTCCCGTTCTTAATAGTGTCCCTGGCACACAGCAGACACTCGATAAATGATCATGAGTGAATTTTAAAACCTGTTCGTTAAAGTTCATTCCTTTCTGCAACAGGCAGTAATGTGATCGCCTGTCCATGCAACAGCTTCTATATCATGAAGAGAAAATCCAGGCAAGACCCCACATACATGCGTTTTTTAGGAGAACGGGATGCAAGCCAGGTGCACAAAGATGAAGTGTATACTCTTATTTTAACGAAGACCATGTGCCGGGGAATCAGTAGATAAGCGTTTTGATTTTGTTTACTACTCTCCTTAGAGTTGAGGTCGTACAGTTTACTTAGCCTATTGAGAGGATGAGCTGACAGAATGTGTCTTTGTGCTCTTAAAATTTTTGGTTAATTTTTTTTTTTTTTTTTGAGGAAGATTAGCCCTGAGCTAACATCTACCAATCCTCCTCTTTTTGCTGGGGAAGACTCACCCTGAGCTAACATCCGTGCCCATCTTCCTCTACTTTATATGTGGGACACCTGCCACAGCATGGCTTGCCAAGATGTGCCATGTCTGTACCCGGGATCTGAACTGGCGGACCCTGGGCCACCGAAGCGGAACGTGTGCACTTAACCACTGCGCCACCCGGCCGAGCCCTGGTTAATTTTTAAATTAAGTTAACTGTGAGAGCACTTTTATAGCCCAACTAAGGCTCAGAATCAAAGTGATGGGTCCCCAGATTACGATGTTGGTTAGCAAAAGAGTCAAAAGCGGAACGGAGCACTCTGGCCTTCTGATTCAATGTTCTCTTCACCACACTGTTCTTCCACGAGCAGGGGTGTGTCCCTACGGAAATAATGCGTCACCGAACACACACTCAGACCCTGGGGGTGAGGGTCCAATTTTCAGTTCCAATCTCATTGTATGTTATGTAATTTATAATGTCATTAGTAACCATTTGTTTTTCATCTGTTCTCAATGAGAAACACCCATTGACATTTAAATAATAGAAAATGAGGACACATAGGATTAACGAAAGACTAAATAAACTGTTTCAATGATTATATGCAAATACTGTCTTTATCAAGAGCCAACAGAATTACCTATGCAACTTTCTATTTGAATTCACCTTTTTATGTGGGTGATTTGTCTTCCCAGCAATACAGAAAGCATCTGGAAGATTAGCAATGCATCTTCCTTTTTTTAAAAATCTGTTAGAATCATTTATTCTTTGCCACCTGTGGCTAGAGCTCAGGCCTACTTTGTTCTCATTTAGTCCTAATTTCAGTGCAGTAAAGGATAAGAAAACCACAGCTCACAGAATGGAAAGACCTGCCCAACCCGGTCCTCTGCTCTCCAGCCTTGCTTTTCCTCCTGGGATGATGTCTGGCGGCCCGCGCACTGAATGAGTGAGCAGCAAAGGTCTGTTAGTTTTAACGTCTTCTAGACTTCCAAACTCTTCAGCTTTTTGGCCTTTCTTTCATGATATGAACGAAGCCCAAATGCAGCCAGACAAGAATTACAGGTTAGGAATGGTGGGCTTTTCCACAGATCCGTCCTACGCCATCCTCAGCACTCTTCTTCTTCTCCGCTCTCTTCCCAGCACCCCCCTCAACTCCTCAGGCCCTGAGACCTGCCTTCCCCTCCAGCAGCCTATCCGCCTTCGGAGGCTTGGCTCCAACGGGATTTGGGAGACACATGGAATGGGCAGGCTCTGCTTGAGCTGCCTGCCGCCTCGGAGATGGCCTGTTTCTACCATCACCGAAAGCTGCTCACTTGCACGATGAGAGGAAAAAAGCAAACCTTTCCCAGCTGCCACGACACACACTTGATCACACACATTTGCACACATCGCATAAAAAAAAAAAAGCCCCCAAAATGAAGAACTCTGAAAGGATAATGTAGAAGAAGTGGAATTTGGAGCTAGTGCGTAAGTTCATGAGTGAG